TAGCGAATGCTTGAAGACTTCGATTCATTTGCAGTAGTTTTCGATCACTTTTCGGCAAATTTTTTGCGGCATTTAAGCCATAACTTGACAAAAGTTCATCAGTTTATTGAGCTGGATTTTATATGGATGCAGGAGTAAGTCTAAGTACAAAACACGCCATAAGGTACCGTGAGAATGTCCCGAGACAGACACTTTCGGGTCTTCGGCTACACTTTCACAAACAGTAGCGATATTTGAGTTGGAACGAACAACGCAATGATCCTTTGGTCTTACGTTATCTGTATCTGATGCCATTATTTAAATTTTTACCAATTTGACATATTTTTGTGAGAGGTTTTAACAATATAATTCCGTTGTGCGGTTTTAAAGCAATTCGTTTTCAAAAATGCCTGACTTTTAACTAAAATAAAACATGTTTGGTTTGACAGTGATGTTTGACAGATGTAAAAAGACCATTGCTGTACTTTGGAAGTGACGCAATCCATATCTTTATCTTTAATTCTATCTATATCTTATTCACATCCATATTTATGGTTATATACAATAGTTATATCGTTATTTATTTCCATATCTACATATATCCACGCATATCTTTATCCATTCCATATTTATATTGATATCTATTAACCAAATATATATGTATATCTTTATGCAATACCCATATCCATATCCGAACTAATTACCATATTCATTTTCATATCATATTATGATTCATACCCATATCCCTTTCAATCTTCACTTCCATATCCACATACAATCTAGATAATATCCATTTCAGCATTTATTACCCAATATAAATAACCCAATAATAATCGATAACCGTATCAAGAACCGTACCCTTACTTAGTACTAATAGCCGTGACCATAACCATATAAATATCCATGTACTTATACTCGTATACGTTTTTTTATAAATATTGGATGAGTGCATAAGTTCGTGCCCGATTTCAAGGGCAAACTAAAATTGAAATTTTTTGAAGAAAGCGCTTTTATTAATCAATTATGTATTCGCCTCCCAACGTTCAATCAATTTTCGAATGCCTGATTCATAGAAATCGCGCGGTTTCTCGTTGAAAAAGGTGTCAAGGTGGTTTTTGACGTCTTCCACATTTTTAAATTTTTTTCCATTCAAATTGTTCTGCAGCGATCGAAAGAAATGATAATCAGAAGGTGCAATGTCGGGTGAATATGGGGGATGCGGCATGATTTCCCAATTCATCTCCTTCAGTTTGGTCAGGGTCGGTTTTGCAGCATGTGTCCTGGCGTTGTCATGATGCAAAAGAACTCATTCGCGATTTGCCAAAATCGGACGTTTTCCATCAATTGCTTTCTTCAATTCGACCAATTGCTGACAATACTTGTTGGCATTGATCGTTTCTGCAGCTGGCAAGAGCTCAAAATAGATCACGCCTCGGATATCCTACCTAATGCACAGCAGTACCTTCATCGGATGCAATCCACCTTTCGACATCGGTTCCGCCCCTTCGTGTGCCTGTTTCCATGTTCAAATGTTTCCATGTTGCTTCAAAGTGCACCCAACATTTTTTAAACGACGAAACGCAGTTGATTTGTTGACGTTCAATTCACTGGCAACCTCTTCCGTCGAAATACGTGAGTTATTCTCAACTAAAGTCCTTAGAACATCGTCATCAAGCCCAGAAGGCTGTCCACTGCGAGGGTGATCTCCGAGGTTAAAATCTCCAGAACGAAATTTCCCCAACCATTTCTTTAATGTGCGGAGTGCTGGAGCACGGTCCAAATAAACTTCGCGAATATCTTTAGTTGCAGCGCCTACTGTTTTTCCTTTGCGGAAATCGTATAACATAATATGACGCATATGATCTTTTTCGTTGTTCAACTTCCATGCGTCTTTTCACTAAGCAACTCAAATCAAAATGAAGTTATTTTATGCTTGATTTACAGTTCGGACCGTCACCTTTCCAACGCTATTTAGTATGTATATATATATATTATATTTCTTTCACGAGCGCCACTCTCAAACGATTCGAACGGCATCCAGCGTAATCGGGCACGAACTTATGCACTCATCCAATACATACATACATTTGAATTTCAATTATCAATATTCGTTTCCTTATCCGTATCAATATTCATTTGAATATCCGTATCCATGCATATACATATCCATATCGAAGCGTATCCGTATCCATTAAACATAATTATCCATTTCGTATCCATATCCCTTTCCATCTTCACTTCCATATCCCGATAGCCGTGTCCGTATACATACCTAGTATCCATGTCCATGATCATACCCATATCAATATCCATGTTCCTTTACGCCATATCAATATTAATTTCCATATCCATATCCATGCATATCTATATCCATATCCATGCATATTCACATCCATATCCATAGCTATTAATATTCATTCTATATAAATATCATTCTTGTATCCATATCCATATCAATCTCCATTATCTTATACGTTACCCAAATTCGTATCGACAACCATACCATATCCATACATAGTATCCATATCCGTGACCATAGCCATATCAACATCCATGCTTGTATACGTTTTTATATAAATACAATACATACATACATTTAACCTTTCCATATCTATACTCGTTTCCATATTCATTTGTATATCAATATCCATACATATACATATCCATATCCATGCGTATCCGTATCCATTAAACATAAATATCCATTTCGTATCCATATCCCTTTCGATCTTCACTTCCATATTCCGATAGCCATATCCGTATACATACCTAGTATCCATATCCGTGATCATAATCATACCCATATCCATGTTCTTTATAAATACATTCATAAATTTAACCAAGCCCTTTTCCATATCAAAATTAATTTCCATATCTATATCCCTGCATATCCATATCGATGCGTATACGTATCCATTCAACTTAAATATCCATTTCGTATCCATATAAATATACATTACCCAAATTCGTATCGACAACCATACCATATCCATACAAAGTATTCATATGCATGACCATAACCATATCAGCATCCATTCATATCTATATCCATGTCCTTATCCAAGCATATCCGTATACATTCCACATAAATATCCTTTACGTATCCATAACAATATACATTATCCAAATACAAATCGATAACCATATCCATATCCATGCATTGTAAGATGAATTTTTATCCATCATCCCAAACTACAACCTTGAACTTTTGAAACCCCGAAATGGATAACGCTATGAACGTGAGATATTTATGTATATATTAGAACATTGCGTGGTATGTATGTATGTACATACATAAGATCATATAACTGTATAGAGTTATTTATATTCATTTTTATATTTATATTTATATATTTGTTCATACTCATATAGTATGTCTGGTGTTACCATAAAATAAATTTTAATTACTCATTTTTTTTCAATAGGTCATTTGATATTGATTGTATTTTGCTTTATTTTCTATACATACATATGTAGCTAGTAACTACATATAAGTGCGCTTTAGCATACAAGCGATTCAACTTTATCATTCATCGAATTTTATTTGCAAATTGGAAAAAAATGCTTAAACCAAGTAAACACGTATAAACCAACAGGCAAATATGTATATACATATATATGTAGCAATATAAACTCATATGCATATTGCATATGTAATTACGTGGAGTATATTTCTAAACAAATATAATTTACATACACTTCAATTGCAATCGAGCGAGACACACATATACCAGCATTAATTTAGCTAACAGCGAATTTGCACTCGAGCATATTTACAACTGCATACATACATACGTAAGTATGCATGCATGTATAGACATACTAAAACATTTTGTAACAAACATTTCTCACCACAAACGTCAATATCCAATAAAATGTGAAAACATTGGCATTTTTGCAATTGAAAAATTACATTAAAAACTATTATTTGTGAAAGTGTTTGCGGTCGGCCAACTGTTAATGCAGTAGAGTATGTGTGTGTGTGTATGTACTTGTTTAGCAGCTGGAAAATGAAACACAAAAAATCAACTAAAATTTTACCGTTAGTTGTCGCACAGTTGGAATATTAGAAATCAATGTCATAAATTTTTTATTAAATAAACTGATGAATGAGTGATTTCGAACAGCAAAATTCGAATAGAATATTTAATACAATTTTTTCATAATTTTTTTCTCATGATTTGAATTTTTTCTTTCTGATTTATTAATAAAAACAAAAAAAAGTGTTAGCAAGTTGTTTTTTTCCCAAATTTACTATTAGTCTGTTAATTATTTCGATGTAATCCTTGACAAAAAACATCAGCTGGAGGAAGTATGTTGAAAGCAGAGTTGTAAATATCTGAGGAGTTGCATTGGCTTTACACAGGTGTCGTAAGGCCCATACTAACAAATGAAGCACTAGTGTGATGGGCGACATTAAAGAAGTTCCCTCGGAACAGGTCCAGCGCACTTGTCGCATAATGAGGTCTACTTCAACAAAGGTCCCAAAAGTCATCTCTGGTATTAAAGAGAGTGAAATACAAGTGTTGTTAAACAAGAAGTCGATACCTGGCCTTCCGTATGGCAAAAAATAATCAAAATCGCTGGGTGGGCGGTGGGTCTTAATGGGGTCATCCTATATTGCAATAGATAATGTCTGACCCAGCAGCGACATATTTTTGGTTTAACTTACATATTTAAGGATTGTTTTTTTTAAGATTTACAAAGATCGGAGACATCAGTATACCTTTAGAGAATATATATTGCAATAGAAATGTATGTTATATTTCAAATACTAAAAATTTTGAATATTGAAAGAAGAATTTTCCTTGTTTTGACGAATTTATTACCAAAATTTTAGTGCAAGTGACTTTAATACATTAAAAATCTTAAAACTATTATAAGCGATAAGAGATCTGTTGTACTTTCTGTACTGTAATGCAAGCCATGGGTCTTCTTTTCATATCAAAAATACACTCGGGCACTCGGGGCTGACATTTTGATTTGTCCAGGGATCGGAGTTCCGCCATTGAAATTTTACGTTAAGTATTTTTTTGCATTTTCTTCCACTGAAAGGCTGTTGTAATAAAGCAAATGATGTCTGCAGTTATGGCACGGTCCAACTGAGGTTTAACCGGGCGGCCATCCAAAAATGCTGGCGACGCTTCCCCGCTATACGAGTGCGTACCTAATGTACGCCGGTCAAAGAGCAAGGTTAGCAGTTTCCTAGTTGCCAAGCTAGGACTTTTCCAATTAATTTGATCGAGCTGCGTTTTGTTTAATGCCGTGCCATTAGGTCCAAGAATTAATGCATTTCGTTCTTCATCAGTTAGTTGTTCATTAACTGCTAATTTCTGATCGACTTTTTCTGTTTTTATGGCCTGCGTCTGCACTGTCGTTGTACGTTTTGGACTCTGAGCCTTAGCGACTTCACGCTTGGTTGGTTTGGTTGGCATTTCGGGTTCTTCATTTCGATCGTTGGTGTCACGCTTGCGTTTAAGTCGTCTGCTTTGTCTAACGGTTTCTGGAATCAACGTACCGGTTTCATATAAACCCAATGAAAACATGAAAGCCTTCTTCTGTTCGTCCATCGGCTCGGGCTGATCTGCTACGTCTCCCATATCGAATAAGCAATTATCAGTGCTTGCGTTGCTTGTCATTTCTTCTTTAGCAAAACTAATATTTTCTAATTGGTGATTTTTATCAAAGACTTGATCTGCACTTGAGTGTGTCTGACGTGTTTTTGAAACTACTTTGAAAAGGACGCATCTTTTATACCCTCGAAGCTGGGGCAACAAAAGAGCAATGATGTCCTTTCAGGCATATGTACACTTGTGTAAATCGTTTGTTAGAGCGAGATAGCGATAGAAAAAAGGGAGAGAGAGCGAGTGGGAAATGGAGAGATTGGAAGAGAGCGAGAGATAGTCAGGTAGACATTTGAGGTTATATTTTGCGATCGCATACCCATCTTTCGTGTTAACCCTTTATCTTGTTTTTGTTTACTTTCACAAAAAATTTTCATGGATTGATAATTTTCGAAATTCCCTGGAAGTTGGGTTTGAACTAAATACTTATTTTTAGGTAAAACTATTTTTTTAACTCTTAAGTAAAAAAATCTTGAGCTGTGATGTAAGGAATGATGCGTACAGTGTATTATGGCACATATGTATAACCATGTATGATGCGAAGGAGCTTCGGCCAGAAGAGAGTTTTTAAAAGAAATAATCATTTTAAATATTTGTCAATTTTAATTAATAGAAGGAAATTCGATACTTTTTAAATAATAAATATATTTTTCATTAATTTTCAAATATTAAATTTTTAACATTTTACATTTTCCGGCCGCTTCTTAGACAGGAACTTTTTTGAATGATTTTATGGTGAGGGAAAACAATTTTTTTTAACAAATATTTTCTTTAAGTCTTGTTTGGTTTAATCTTTCTGCTTTTTAGGTCATTTATGTTCCCTAATATCTATATACATACTTACATATGCGCATGAAAAGAAAATTCTTTTTTCTAAAAAAAAGACGGGTAAACTCACACAATTACTTTTTAAATACTCATTTAACTCTATCGAGTAGCAGCTTTTTACTTTTATCCATTTTTTTCGCAATTTTCACTTGACATCAAAGCCAAGTATCTACGCAAGTAGGCAAGAAAAACATTTTAAAGAGAAAACATTTTTTGCTCAAAACTCGTAAAAAGTTTTTTTTTTTTTTTGGAAAATCTTTATTGTATCACTTTGCTATGCAGAACTACATACTTACATATACTATATACAAGACATATCGTTCGCGAGTTTTCAGTTGAAAAAGTTAGCGTAGATTTTAAGATATCCTCTTTCATGTATACTCGTACATACAGACATTCGTATGAAGGTATTTAGTGCTAATGTACGTGTATACTTCTTTACTGATCGCAAAACTTTGAGTATGAGAATTTTTTCAGTTTTTTTATTCTCCTACTGAATGAACTGATTACCTAATGCGTTAAAGAATATTTTTCGACAATTTTTAAAGAGGTTTTAAAGAAAAGACTGCCTTTAAAATTTCTTGCAATTAATATAGTAGGACAGCTTAGGTGGTGAGTATAATTGTTTTCTTCATTTGAGATCAGTCTTCTCTACAGAGTTGTTCATAGAAACTTCCAGCTTTGATTGGAGTACTCAATTATCAGTAGAATTGTCCTGATTTATTAATATTTTTCCATGAGAAAGAAGAGAAAGATGAATAAATAAAAGCTTCAGACTATGAAAATTTCTGAGGCGGGAATGGTATGAAAGTTGGCGGCATTTCCAGTTTCTTCAAGATCTAGAGCTCGGCTTTTTACAACAATGCTTCCTAAACAGAAAATCTGTAAATTTATAGGAGCAAAGCGCACAGAAGTCGCTTTAATTTTCTGCTCATTCTGCACCTCTGAATAAATGTAAAAAATTTCAGTATTCACATTTCGCAGAAAATACAAACTAAAGTACATATCTATTGGATTCACAGGGGACAGAAATGCAATGGTAATTAGCAGAATAAAAAAGATTTTAGTATTCTCGAGAAATTAACCGCAAACTACAAACGCTTGAAGCAGAATAGTTCTCTTGCATAGTAACTGTTGTCCTGAATATGTAACAATAAACTCACATATGCTCATACAAATATACATACATACATTGCATGCGAAATAACTTGTGTTTTAATTCCATAGAAAACCCTGATTGAAGGATAAATGAACAACATTACTTTGACGAGGAATCGAGTGATGTGAGAGAGTGTGCATGTATTTTGTTATGTTTGTATGCAATCGCTGAAACAATGAAATCTTTAACAAATGCAAATTATTGTAGTAAGTATGTATTGAAGGTACATATACGTATGTATATTCTATCACATGAGCGGAAACACAAAAGAATAAATATTGTAACAATAGTACATAATGGAGTTGATTTGTAAATATGTATGACTTATATTTAGAGTGAGAATGCATAGACGCTTCGAATAAAAAGATGCTGAATTGCAGAGTAAAGCCTGCGGTTGCAGTTTTTAATGGAAACTATAATGGATATTCTTGGTAAAATATATATTTACACACGCAAGGATAGATGTACAACCAAAACAATGTTACAAGAAACCAGACAAAGAGTAAATGATTTTTGGTTCCTCAAACAAGTTGGGTCTGGAATAAATTTAATAACGAATTGTAAAAATAAATAAAATCAAATAATATGAAATCGAATTAAAAATTTTAATAAAAGAAAAAAATGAACCAAATCAAACTAAAATTGAATAATAAAAAAAATTTAAAAAAATCAATATAAAAAAATAAAAAAAATCAAGTAAAATAAGACAAAATAAAATAAAATAAAACAAAATAAAATAAATATAATAAAATAAAATAAAATAAAATAAAATAAAATAAAATAAAATAAAATAAAATAAAATAAAATAAAATAAAATAAAATAAAATAAAATAAAATAAAATAAAATAAAATAAAATAAAATAAAATAAAATGACTTATAATCAAAAAAATTAATATAAATAAAATATAATATAATAACGACTATTTATAATGTAGATGCAAATTAGCTTCCTAATTATGCGGTCGGAGCTTCTCGGAATGTCAACATTTCCGTGTGTATTTCTGAAATGAATATCAGTGCTCTTCATAAAAGAACCATCAGCCGTTCGGAGAAGGCTTAGTAAAAGCTGTCCCTTCATATGTTGGAAACGTGGAGCTCGTTTAAATTATTTATATTTATATATGATATGTGTATGTATATTTTTTTTATTTATAGGACCTACTTAACAAAAAATGCAGCGACATAATTCATTCCCGTTCCATGTGCAAATGTTTTTCCAATTTTTGGCATTCAAAGATCTATCAGGTTGAACTTTGCTTAAAGGACCACTGAAAAGTATACCCAAACCAAAATTGAAAGCAAAAATTTTAGAGCTGTTACAGACTTTTGTAAATTTTCTTTAAAAAGCTACCCAAGCAATTAAAAAATTTGTTAGGAGCTTAAACAATTCGAGTATTTAAACAAGAATTTAAGTTTTTTCAATCACTCCATCACCGATTTATTAAAGATGTGACCTGTGGTGCCGGCGTAAAGATGCTTCCGCTTCGAAAAAAACAATTTCACGCTCAATTTTATTAATTCGTTTAACAATGCGTCGCTCTTCGTGCAACAACTTTCTGCACATTTTCACAAGCATTCGCCGTGGCTGTGGCCAGAAAAGTAAGGAAACTAATTATAAATATTTGAAATTGAAAAAAAAAAATCAAACCTTATTATTCGGTGATTTCTGACCCATTCTTGATATATAGCGTCTGTAGGATAGGTAAAAAGTATTAGTTGATGCATTATTAGTTAAAAACGGTGTCCTTTAACGTGAATACGCACCGCAAAACGTCAAATGCGCGTACGCCAGTGGTGTTTTTTATAACATCCAAGGATGGAGATTTCATAATTCCTAATCTATTTTTTACACTATTATTCTTATTTTTTTTTTTTGCAAAATTAAAATTTTATAGATTTTTAATAGTTAATTTATATAATATGTTTGTTATTTTATTTTCATTTAATTTTACTAATTTCAATTTTTTTTGGGTTTATTCAAAAATTATTATTATTTTTTTGAAGTACAAATTTTTTGACTTATTTATTTGCTGCCATTTTTGAGGCTGAAATCAAATATGTAATGAAAACAGACTTGTCGAAGACCATCTAAAGACTGATGCAGGTTCCTTTCAGTTTAATTCAGAAGTACTTTTGAACTATTTATAACTACTCTTGATAAAATAATTAGTTACATTCTCAGAGTCGCAGTATCCAAGAGATGCAGGTCTCTAGGCATCCGAGTGTATTGTTTACATGAAAATTAAAGGTGTTCATTAAAACGCAACGGCTTCAGCAGTTAGAACAAGTTAATTATATTGATACTATCAGAGGCAGTTGAGGACTAGTTCGGTACTAAATTTAATTTTATAAAAACACTTTGTACTGACTTAGGGGCAAATATTTTCAAGGATTGAAATGAGCTCAGTACTAATCTATGGAATTTTTAATGCCTCTCAAGATTGTTTCACTAATTATAGGCTGCCAATTAAAAATCTTGCTAAGAATTATTTGGCATTAATTTTAGACCACTTTGAACATATTATAGAACAGTTCCTTGACTGTGGAATAAATCATTAGAAGCCCATGACATGTGGCAGTGCTTCACAAAAAAGTATTTGAATATAGTATTTTCAAGAATTTTCCAATCAAATTGAAAAAAAAATAAATATTTTTTTTTAGAATTAAATCCGCGCTAAAAGTGATTTTAAATTTTAATTTAATTTTTTTATTTATTTTATTACATTTAATAAATTCAAAGCAATAGAGCACCTCATCGTCGCACCAAATTATACCATACTTATGTATAAGCTCACATCATATCATGATGTCTTGAGTTTACACCGTTTCACATCACATCGCGCGATGTCATATCATATCTTCCTTATTATTATTTGTCGCCACATCAAAGCTCAGTATATCACATATTTTTACAAAATATACGATGTCAATTTACGTCATTAAGTAAGTATTATAAAATCTTATTACCATAATTATTGCCTTTTAAATTGCATCGCATCACATTATATCACTTCACATAAAATCAAATTACATTATCTGTCATAAAACATAACAACATCAACACTGCATATCGCTGCATACCACTGCGCCTCACATATTTATATGACATCATAACACACCACAATACTACCGAGTATTATGGCACATCAACACATCACTCATCTCAAAATATCAGCATATGTCAGCTAATAGTACATCTCTATATGCCACTTCAAAACAAATCACATCACCTTAACTCACCACTTATCTAATAATATCACATCACTTCATATCAAATAACTTAATCTACACTACACATAAAATCATATCACATCAATTCATATTACATTAAGTCATATCACATTAAGTCATATCACATTACATCAGATCATATTACATTGAGTCACATCACATAACATCAACTCATATTACATTGAGACACATCACATTGAGCCATATCACATCACATCAATTCCTATCACATTACGTTATATCACATCACATCAATTAGTATCACATTGAGTCATATCAAATTAAGTCATATCACATTACATCAAATCATATTACATTGAGTCACATCACATTAAATCATATCAGATTACTTCAATTCATATAACATTGAATCACACCACATTAAGTTATATCACGATATATCACATCATTATCAATTCATATCACATCAAGAATCACATCAAGCATACACATGAAATAATTTCACCATACGTCAATTCAATTTCACATCACATCACTCCTCAACTTCATAAAAAATTAAATTGCAATATATGTATATCTCATCATACCTCTACCTACATTGTTTTAAACTAAATATATATATATTTATATATATATATATTGAAATATATTGCTGAACTTTGAACTATTTGCTTTGAATAAAACTTTGTAATAACTTTTTCTGTTTTAGAAAACTGTAATTTTTTTTCCAGATTGACGTTCTCGACAGTTTGCGATATATTTTTTTTTGTATGCCTGAAATTATAATTAAAAAATTTTCGGAATCTTTGGAAAATTTTTACTTTTTTTTAATATTCGCAGCAGTTTGGTATAAATCTAAAGTAATGTTTTCGGCACCTCAGCAAGTTTTAAAAAATCGTCGGCGTTTATCTGCTTTAACAACGCTGCAGTGAGTGTGTTTGCTAAAACATCTAAAACACATACATACATATATAAGTACATATTGATAAAAACTTTTGTTTTTAGAGCAAGAATTGCAGAGAATAATGTAAGTGCAAACAGATTTAGTATTGCCAAAAAGGTTAGTTGTTATTGTAATTTTTTTAATGAACTTAAATTTACTTAAAAAGCCTCTTCCCTTTCAGCAAACACAAACGCTGCGAGAATTCTTTGAAGATCTACAAGTGGAAGAAAATCGCATAAAACGTGAGATTCAAAGAATCGGGCAGAAAATCAAAAGGCTTGAAAATTCGAATGTTGATAAAAAGGATAATGATAACAAGACAGATGGGAAATAAAAAAAATTAAAAATAATTATAAAATTAAATTTGTTGAAAAAGACTCATTTACCTGTGTCTTTTTTTCAACAAACCTATATATATTCTAAAAGTAGAAAAAATAATTGTATTGTAAATTTGTAGATTTGTAAAATAAAATATATTAGTAATTTCACAGATTCCTTCAAAGATTTGTTCTTCGCTAAGGCATTCCTTACGAGACAATGATTTGTTTCCTACTTTAAGCTGCTGTTTGGAGGAGTTTGGGTTAGTATTATTATTTTATTTTGAAACTTTTTAATTATTTTGACACTTAAAAAAACTACAAAAACAATATAAGTAAGTAGTAAGCTCTGTAATTTTAGTTTCCATTTCATTTGTATTATTTTCTTTTTATTCATTTTTTAAATATTTTTTTTCGACAATATAAATTTTTTAACTATTTTCGCAATCATATCTTTGAGTTTTGCATTTAATTTACCGGCTGATTCAAAATTTTTCACCGTTCAACCGCAAGATCAAATTAAATAACGAAGCACATAGATAAATACAAACAAACAAACATATGTCACGACTAACAAGGAAGGTGTTGATAAGCCAGAAGAATATGACTTTGTTGAAGTATTTTGTGTAAGAATAATGTAAATATAATTAAAATTTTTAAAGCCATATATTTATTTTAATTAATTTTTAATTATGTCTCAAATTTAAATTACTTAGGCGTCCCATAGCTTGCACTGCCGGCAAGCAGGGTTATATTAAAACGGTAAAAATTACTAAATATATATTAAAAGTGCTAATAATTGAATTAAACTTATTTTCCACTTATGTTTAAGCAAAATATGAAACTCCGTCATATGTTGAAAAGTTTACAACAACAAGAAAAACAATTTCAATCGAGACTGTATCTTAAGCAGCGCGACCTTTATTCATCAGAAATGAAGACAAACAAGTTTCCGTTTTTTAACTCACGCTAGTGACACACACACACATACATTTTTATCTGTTAGAAAAGTAAATGTTATTTTGCATTATTTTATTTTGTACATAAATTCTAATGTAAGAAATTTGGTAGACGATTTTTTATGTGCTTATACAATGCTGACGTATAAACACATAAAAGTTTGTTTAATAAATGAACCAAATTTGAAAAAAATTTAGAAGTTAATGATTTTATTTGAAAACGTTCTGAAACTACTTTATGTTAAATAAATAAAATTAATAAATAAAATAATATACCATAATTTAATTAAATTAAAAAGAATAAAAATTAAATTAAAACAAAACAAAAAGAAAAACTAAATAAAAGATAATTTAAAAAATTAAATATATAAAATATAATATAAGATAATAAAATATTAACTAAAATAAAATAAAATATATAAAAGGAAACTAAAGAAAAATAGTTTAATACATTGAATATAAAAAAAAATAATATAAGATTATATAATAAAAATTAAAAAAGAAAATAAAAAAAAAATTTTTCTTTTTCAAAATACTTACTTACTTTACCGGCGTAGACACCGCTTAAAACCTTGCGCGATCCGTTTCTGCTTTTTGTTGTTTGGCGCCAATTGGAAATTCCAAGTACAGCCATCTACTTCTCTAACTGGTCTTTCCAATGGAGTAGAGAGGCCTTGCTTCGAATAATTTTGAAGCTGGAGTATTCGCATCCATATGGACTACATGACCTAGCCAGCATAGCCGCTGTTTCTTGATTCGCTGAACTAAATCAATTTCGCCGAATAACTCGTACAGCTCATCGTTCTAGTGTCCATATAAACGAGGCTTAACCCACGATAACTGGCGCAGACTGTGGGTCCCCTTTTCAATGGATTGGGCAGAACACACTTAAATTCCAGTCGTCGGGCATTCTTTCGTCCGACCATATTCTGCAAACCAGCTGATGCATGCCCCTTGTCAGCTCTTCATCGCCATATTTGAATTGTTGTTTTTTAAGTGCGCGATTGCTATTCGAACTGCTTCATGGTGAGATAATTGAACGTATTTTCCATCGTCATCGAATGAGGTTTCGGGCTTACCATTTCCGGATACTCCATTTTCACTACTATTCAGCAGGTTGGAGAAGTGTTCACTTCATAAATTCAATAAACTCTGGCCATCGGTGGCTAAACCATCTCTTTGTTTCCTACAAGAGTCTCCGCCGGTCTTGAAACCTTCCATAAGTCGGCGTATCCTCTCAAAGAATTTTCGAACATTGCTCTTGTAAAAATTCTTCAGCAAGAACAACATAACAGGAAGCGGTATGTATTATATAATAAACACACTAACAAGCATAAGACCAAACTTCGAAACGGACACTTGTACAGACACTTGCTAACGAATGAATATACAGTACAAAACTCCACGTCGCACTGATAGGCTGTGTTGATCAATGTATGTATGAGTATGATATTTTAAATTTATTAATTAATGTAATTTATTGTTCTTATGTTGTTGTACATTAGTTACCCTGAAGACGGTTACAGAAGAGTAGCCGAAATATATCGGAACTAAAAAGAATAATATTGTGCTTTTATTGACCTCAAGCCAGCAAGCAAGTTTCAATTTAAAATAGTAAAATATAGAATAAAATTAAATTAATTTAAAATAAAAAAAAAATAATGAAAAATAAAAAAGTATAGTAAAATTAAATTAATTTGTATAAAATTAACTAAAATAAATTTTTAAAATTATAGAGAAATATTTAGCTAACTCTCCGGTAGAGAATCAATTGTAAACCTCAACATTCTAGGAGATCTAGGGAATCATTCACTGACTCTCATTCGATGCTTCCGGCGGCTGCCTCTGGCAAACTGCCAAAAAATGCTCCACTTAAAATATCTTAAATAAATGGTTAATTTTTCGCTTTCATGCCTTCCATTTCATCAGTCAAGCCACTCACGTGCAGCTAAGCATTTATTTACTTTAAGACATATGCGCGCGCGTGACCAAGTAGCGGAAGGAAGAACAGAAAAATGTGGGTTATGAAATTTTTAATGAGCTCACAACTGAGACTGAGACTGAAAAGTTTTTTTTTACATGCGCGCGGAACAACTTGAGCGGTTAAGATGTGGTCATATAAGCACACTCGTCTATATTTATATATTATGCATGCAAATAGTTATACACGTACATACACACATATGCAGATGAATGCTGTTTTAAGATATTTAATTTTTTATTTTTATGGTTTTTTGCCTAAAACTTTCGCGCACCACTAAATATCAAGTATGTATGTAATGAATATATATGTATGTGTGTGATAAAAGCATATGTTTGAGAAGTGAATTCAGCTTGAGAAGTGAGAGCGAGTTGGACTTATTTAAATAGAGTGAGGAAATTTGTTTCATTTTACATGCAAAAAAAAAAAAAAAAAAATATGTACGTATTTCGCCTTTGAAGTCAGGCTATAAGAATTTAGATGAGTGTTTATATGTATGTAAAGCGTTGAATTTAACTGTAAAAAATGTGAAAAATCACAACAGAGTAAGAAGCGTAGGGAAAGCAAAACTAAAATAAATTGCTGCAGCAACTGGAAGTAAAGTATTAATATCCTTTAGCGCGTTGAGAACTTCCTGAAAAGTCATATATAGTACATACATACATACATACATACATACATACATACATATATGCATATAAATACACGAAAGAGATTATAATGCCTTTATACGCACATACATTCACACATTTTATTCTTAAATATATATATTTTTTTCATTTCCAGCAAATGAATTACTCTTATTTCCGTTGGAGTGTGAATTCCTTGCTTTCTTCATATGCTCCGACTGAGCAGCCGAGAGAATTTATTTCTTCACATATGATTTTCACTTAAATGTATGTATATATTTGTTTATGTTGTTCTTTGGCTGTTGCTTGCTTATGTATGTACTTGTGCACTTCTATTTCTGTTCTTCTTCTCCTTCTCCATCATCATCTGGAAATGCTGACAAATTTCATTGTTTACTCATACTAATGTTATTTGCTCACCATATCACTTTTATCTTCATTCCGCCTCTCAGTAGTAATTCGCTTTTCATTAATTCTCGTAGGTTAAGAAGAAACTCTACACAACAATGGAAATCCTTTGACATGTTTGGCTTTTCTCTGACTGACACGAGGACTGGCGGGATGGTAGGAAAATTGCTATTGATTTACTTAAGAAGATGTTTTTGCAATAATTTTATTATATAGATCAAATATTTTTTTTTAGTATAAGACTGAGCTTTAAGGATACACTTTTATGTCAAGCGGAAGAGTAAGCCCTTAATTCTCAAAGCAACCAACGTTGGATGAAAGCAACTTTTTTGTTGTAAAGTTCCAGAAATTTTTAAGAAATGGACACGAAACACAGCTTAGGCGCTCTCTGAAGCGGTGTGTAGTATTTAGTAGTAAGCTATGATGAGTGCTGCAGAGAGCGTTGTTCTTGCATTGAGAGGTAAAAGTTGCATTGTTTAAAGTCAAGGAGCAACAAAGAGGTTTGGCTTGGTACTTATTAATTCGAAAAATGCGGTTGTATTGTAGCCTGTATCGGCAGTAGTAGATCAATCAGCATATACTGTGTCTCACTTTCGTTCCTGACGCCAGAGACCCGCAGAGGGTAGCGCTAAAGCGGATGATTTTATCAGTCAAATCACTGGGACTCTGTTCTATATCCTCCAAGCAATACTCAAAACATTCACCGGGCAACAGACCACGTCGAGAAGAACTCACATAGCGACTTGCTGTAAATCTACGTAAACTTAAACGCTATGGGAACGTAAGAGGCCTCTCGAAGCAAAAGGGCATATTCAAAATAGTTGTAGAGAATATAAGAACGATAAAGACGTTACTTTCATTTTGAAGGTAACAGATGCGAATGAAGATTTCTTGATTGGTTAAAAAGTGTAACTTATCGGCATCTCAAGGAGACATCTCCGTCCCAAGCATACGTAAATTTAGATTCCCAACTTGACACTTGACGCTTCTGCCTACCTTAATATACAATATAATTGGCGCTCCTCCTCCAGTTTTTGGTATTTGCATTCTGACGGTTTCCCTACAAATGGAGGGAGCTACAGTTTATACTAAGCCGCCTCCGAACGGCTGATGGTTGTTTTTTTATGAGGAGCTTTTATTTCATGTTAGAAACACACTCCGAGGGGTTGACATACCCTGCCTGGGATGCGACCGCAAT